ATGGGTCACCTTTCTTCTTCCAGGAGGCCTTCTCTCCTCACCAACCCCATTAGGCTATCTGCCCCCTCTGGGTTCACACTTTGCCCCACCGAATTCTATGAGGTGATTTGGCCTAAGCACACCCAACCCAACCCCCTGCGGTATATTCCTTTCTCAAGTTTCCTATGTGTGTCCGTATCCCAGACCCCCTCTGAAAGACCCTGAAGGCAGGAGCTGAGTGGTGCAGTTCTGTCTCTACTCTCCCCTCCTAGTGCCCAGAACAGCGTCCTGGGAATCCATAATCCTTGGTATTGACCCTTTCTCCTAGTCACCCCAACCCCCGTCTATCAATACAGAAGCCAGTGTAACCCTTAAGAAACTTACATCAGATCATATCTCTCCTCTGGTCCAAAGCTTCCCATGGGAAAGCCCAAATCCTCACCATGGTTTTTGGGACCCCACCCCAACTGCAACCCTCCTCCTCACCCCTACCCATTGCCTGTCTGAGCCCATCTCCTGCTCTTCTCCACACTCACTCGGCCGCAGCCACTCGGGCCTCCTTGCTGTTCTTCAGGCATGCCAGGCAGCCTTGGATCAGTGCAACTGCATTTGCTATTCTCTCTTTCTAGAACACTCTTCCCCTCGCAATGACCCTGGTTTGCTCCTTCACTTCCTTCAGGTCTCTGCTCAAACAGTATTTTCTCAGTAAAGCCTTCCATGACCACCCAATATAAAAGATATAAAAATTGCAAATGTTCCCCGCCTCATAGTCCCACCCTCTTTTTTCTTCTCACCATAGTAGTTATTGCCATCTAATATATTGTACATTCTTTATTGTGTTAATGTTTATCTCGCCTCACTAACTGTGACCTCATGAGGGCAGAGATCTTTGCCTGCTTTATTCAACAGCATCTAGAACAGTGTATAGGGCACAGTGGGTATTGAATAAATATTTGTTGAATAAATGAACTGGGAGGGAGAAGACCCAGGCCCAGTCTGGATTCTTCATTCACTTGTTGGGAGACTTGAGTGATCCACTTCCCAGGCAGGCTTCAGTTTCCACATCGGTCAAGTGGGGAGGGTGTCTGTGTGTCTCTGAGGCCCTTACAGCTCTGCTGAGTGTGACCGGGGTTGTCTTGAGAAAGAGGTGAACTGACCCAGCAGGATGGGGTTTTGCTGCCCCCTTGTGACGGGGCCTACCCTTTCTCAGTACTGTCGAGTCTTAACGCTTCTCCAAACTCCCAACTCTGCCTGTTTTTGTGAGGAAATATGTGCACTAGGAGGGCACCCTTTACCCCAGAGATATCCTTTTTGCTATCTCACCTCCACTGGCCCATCGCCACCCCATTGCCTCAGCTTTTGAGGTCCCCTCACGGGGCCTCTTGATGTTTGATGCCTCATACCAGCTGTCCATCATGTCACCGTGACCGTGTGTTACGTGCTGAATTATGCCACCCCATCCTGTTCATATGTAGAAGTCCTAACCCCCTGCACCTCAGAATGTGACTGTATTTGGAGACAGACTCTTTAAAGAGGTAATTAAGTGAACATGAGGTCATGAGGGTGGGCCCTAATCCAATTTGATTGGTGTCCTTGCAAGAAGAGATTAGGATACAGACATGCACAGAGGGAAAATCATATGAAAACACAGGTAGAAGACATCCATCTAAAAACCAAGGAGTGAGGCCTCTAGAAACCAACCTGCTATTACCTCGATCTCAGACTTGTGGCCTTCAGAATAGTGAGAAAATAACTTCTGTTGTTTAAGCCACTCAGGCTGTGATACTCTGTTATGGCAGCCCTAGCAAATTAATATACCCTGGTACTCACAGAGTATATGTCTGTTGTTTAGTTCAACCCCAGAAGTGCCATGGGGGGCCAAGGTCGTCCCATTCTATAGAGGAGAGTGAGGCTAGGGGAAGGAAACACAGTTGCTGTAGGAGGCTCATAGGTAGGAACCCATCTGTCTGGTTTGAATCTTGGAGCCTAGCCAGAGCTCCCTTTTGCACCTACGGCTCCACCCACCTAGAAACCTCTCTTTATAGGTCCCCCCTGTCTTGCAAGGCCCAACTTAGGGCTTCCTACTCTTCCCCGTCCCTTCCTTTCTGATTGTGCCAGCCCATATTGACCTGCAACTGCTTCATCGTGACCCCTTGCTGGCCTTGTCCTTGGGGCCTGGGATGCCTGTGTCCTGTGGCCAAGCTGCCTCCTGTGGCTGCCTGCTTCTGTTGTCAGTCCCATGTCTGGATTCTTGCCTTTCCTTGTTCAGCGACCCTATGCTATAGTTTCCCAACCGTTAGCCTGTTTGGTCCCAGCTGCTGAGTCTAGGTCTAGCAACTCCCCTATGGCTGACCACTACCTCTCCATCAAAGAACCCCAGGACGGCCTGCTTTATGCGCCTGCATTGCATTTACTATAAACTGTGTTGGGCCATCTTTCTTCCCTTCCTCATGGTTTGGATTATTCTCAATTCCTCCACCTCTGACCAGGTAACCCCAAGATGGTCCTCCAGAAACAAAACGAGTTCTTTTAATAATGCTGGTAAAATTTTCTCTTTTCTTAAAAAAAAAAAAATATATATATATATATATACATATATATATATACATATATATATATATGTATATATATATATATATATCTGAAAGATTTTTCATGTTCCTAGAAAATTTTTTTATTGTGGTAAAGTATACCTAACATAAAGTTTACCATTTTAATTATTTTTTAAGTGCACAATTCAGTGGCATTAAGTACATTCACATAGGGATGCAATGATCACCACCATGTAGCTCAACAAGTTTTTTATCATCCCAAACTGAAACTCTACCCATGAAACAATAACTCTCCATTCTCCCCTCCCCTGGCCCCTGGCAACCTCTGTTCCACTTTCACTCTTTATGAAGCTGACTACACTAGGTACCTTATATAATTGGAATCATGTATTTGTCCTTTTGTGTCTGGCTTATTTCACTCAGCATAATGTCTTCAAGGTTCATTAATGTTGCAGCATGTGTCAGGATTTCCTTCCTTTTTGAGGCTGAGTAATATTGTATGTTCATTCTCTGTGTACACCACATTGTATTTATCCATTCCCCCATTGGTGGACATTTGGTTTGTTTCTACCTTCTGGCTACTGTGAATAATGTTGCTACAGTCATTGGTGTACTTGCATTTTCTTTTGCTCTAACTCCAACTGGCATGAAGGTAGGTAGACCCTTGACTGAAACTTGAAAGGTTTTGCAGTGTCACTGCAAAGAGGATCTGGACCCTACATTGTAGGTGAAGCCTCCCTTCTGAGTCCAGATCCCACATCCCAGGGTCTCTTCCACATTTTCTCTTGAATGACTCAAAGGCATCAATACGCAGCTTAACATAGACCTGAGCCTTTGCTCTTTCCCTCCAAACCTGTTCCTTTCCACTTGCCTATGTCAGTAAACTGCCCTGCAGCCACCCAGCTATACCAGCTGGAAACTTGAAAATCACCTTTGACATTCTTATTCATTCACCCCAACTTCTGACACTTTTTTCCCCTCCAAAAAATTTCTCCAATCTGCCCACTTTTCACCTCCCCTGCCCCAACCCTACACCAAGTCTCCTGGGAGACAACACAAGGCTCCTCACTGGTTTCTCTGCTTCCATTTTTGCCCTCAGTATCTCCAAGCTATTCTCTATCTTATTTCTAAAGATGGATAATACCAACATGATTTATAAATTCCTGCTCTACTGGTCACCTACTGGTGACTTGCCTGTCCAGAGGCAACAATTGTTCTCTGTTCCCTGGTTCCCTTTCAGACAGTCTGGGCGTCCTAGAAACTCACGTGGCTGGACATAATTCACCCCATCTACCCACATGGCTCTGGGCCTTCTTTTTTCACTTTTCACTCCATCTAGGTGCTCTTTCCCCATCATCACAAGTGGACACCTCCGTCTCTTAGGTAGTGTTGGGCCTTCCTGTCAGGACCGAGTGTGCCATTCTCCGACCATTACTCCTCTGTTCTAAAGTGAGACACTTGGGACAAAACCCCTTGTTCTCTTCTTAGTCCCTCCTGGCCAAGAGGTTCCTCTCTCAGGGCTCAGTTTTCTTTTTTAAAAAGATTTTATTGGGGATTTGGGGGAGGGGAACAGACAAGTTGCTTTTCTTTGGTTCTTCAGTCTAGTTGTGGAGGATGTCACTTCACTGGCCCATGTTGGTATTATGATCATTGTGCTCTTCCCGGCTGAGGCAGTGGTCACCAGCCATTGGACAGCAGCTCACGGTAGCCCAGCTCCAGGTCGAGCTGTTGTTCACCATCTTAGCTGTAGAGGGCACAGCGTCACTGGCCCTCATGTGGGATCAGAACACCGGGCCCTGCTGCTCAGAGCTGATGTCCCAAGCCAACTCCTAACCAACTGAGCCACTTGGCCAGCCCCTCAGTTTTCTTTTATTTTTTTTAAGGCAAAGCCCTCATGATGACCTCCACTTACCTCAAAGGCGATTCTGCCAGCCTCCCCTTGAGTCCCCCAAACCCAGGACCTTGAGTAAAGTGACTTAGGGCTCAGTTTTCAAGTAACCTCTTCCAGGCGACCCGCCTGCCACATTACCTCCATCTAGCATAGCACCTGCCGAAGTCCTCCATGGCCCTGACTCTACTTGGGACTACAACAGAAATTTATGGGTATGTTTTCTTTTTCTTTCTTTTTTTATTTTTGCAATTGGGGAATTGTATGGGTGCGTTTCCTAATGCCGTTCCCTTAGAGAGGAGCGCTGCGGTCCAAAGCCAGGCCCAGCAGGTATGTTTGGCCTGGGAGGAGGAAACCCGCTGAGGCCGCGCCTCGCACCTAAGTGGAGAAAGACTACCAGTCCCAGAAACCCTTTCGGCTCGGGCTGGCGATTCGCCCTCCCCGCCCTCCCCGCAGAGGAGACTAAACTGCACATGTGCGAAAGACTGCTCGGGCGGGGCGGGGACTGCACCTCCCAGCAGGCCGTGCGGGCATTTTTCGTCCCTGCACGACGACTGCCTTCCGGCGCGGAGGGGCGGGGCGGAGCGCGCGACTGAGCCAGCAGCTGGAGCAGCTAGGGAGCGGCCGAGGGGCCGGTGGGCGCACTCCGCCATGGAGGCCGTGCCTCGCATGCCCATGATCTGGCTGGACCTGAAAGAGGCTGGTGACTTCCACTTCCAACCGGCCGTGAAGAAGGTGAGTGCGCCTCCTCCCCACCCCCACTTCTTCCGCGTATCTCCGTCGTCGGCCAGCGCGTGACGCCCCCTGCGCGTCCATCATCACCCCAGGCCCTGTTGCTGGGCCGGGTGAGACCAGGAGGGGCCTCCGCTGGCTTTCCTCGGCCTTGCCCACTCCCGCGCGCCCGCCGATTTTTCTTCCCCTCCTTGTCCACCCGGGGTTGGCACCGCAGTGTCGTCGGAACCCGCTTCCTGACTTCTGGGCCATCCATCGTTCCCACCGTGGCACCACTCTTCCTTGGTGTGACGCTCTAGACCTAGCTCAGCCCCGCGCCTCCTCACGCCAGAACCGCCGGGCAGGGAGCTCTGGGCGGTCCGGACGGTCTGGGTTGAATGACTGTTACCCGGCTCTCAGTGCGCGGTCAGTCTATGACTGGACTGGGACGGACGCCAAGGGTGGCTCAGGATATGTTTTAAGACGGGAGCCCCGGTGAACCAGAGGAATGCCTAACCTCTGCTATTGGGGTCTCTCTGACCCTTGGTGCAATTCTGTCTGGGCTTCTCTGGAGAAGAATCCTATTCGGGAGCCCTTTGAACCAAGTTATAGAGTTGCATGTCATTTTGGGGAGGTTTACTGGTTTTCATAACTGCCCGGAGGAGACAAACAGTGCTGTAGCTCCCGGAGAGACCGTAGCAGTCGTTGTGTCGAGTCTTGAGTTGGACGGAGTACACAGGCAGGTTTGGCGTTAACGGAGGCAGGCGAGGGACCTTTATGGTGAGATCAGCCGTGGCTGGTACGAAGAGGGGCCAGATGTTGTTGATTGGGTATCAGGTGCCCTCGGAGACATCTGCCTTGGGAAGGGCCACCTGGTTGCATTGAGGGTCAGAGCAAAGTAAAAAGGAACACCCAGGAGGCTGTTGAAGGTTGGCATCCTTGTAACCACACGTGTTTAGCACAGCAGCTGCCAAAGTAAGTCCCAGATCACCCAAATTTTGCACCGCTTAGCAGTTAGTATGCTTGAGAAAAGAAATAAGAGAAAGAAAATGACTTTGGAAGTAGTTTTCCCAAGAAGCTATCTCCCTTTGTTTTTACTTTGCCACTGCTTTAGTTCAGACACTAATAATTTGTATTCCGTTGAATCCATCGTTTATCCTCTTTGGACCTCCTTTTCCTCATTTATAAAACCAGGAAACTAGATTAATTGATCTAAAATTCCAAGATTTTGTAATTTTGTTACGACTTTGGTCTCTTCTCCATCTGCTCTTTCATACAAGTACAAGTAGATGAATTTTTCTGAAGCTTAACAAAACTCCTTTGTTTTCTAGTTCATCTCTAGACTATTCAGAGTTCTCCCTGACCTACCCCAGTTCTTCAGCATTTTTTGAGGGCCCAGTATGTGCTTGATCTTTGTACTTCTGATACAAGTATCCCAGATTCTGTTCGCAGTCAGCCACTCGCTGTTCCCTAGACATTCTCTGCCTTTGGTTGTGGAATTCCTCCCATCCAGCTCTCATCTTTGTCCCGTGGGGTGGGGTTGGGCCCTTCTTTAATCTCTGTGTATTGGTTTTGTCCATCTTTCAGGGTCCAGTTTAAGCTCTGTCTCATCCTAAGATTTATTTAACCCTTTCATTTGGATTAATCTTTCCCTTCTCTGAATTCCTAACTCTTGTCCTCCTTTTCCTGGTGACAGTTATGTATACTGTGTTTTAACCCCCCCCCGCCCCCCTCCATTCAATTCTAAGTGACCTGAAAGACATCTGCATGCTCCTCACAGCCTAGCAGGGTCCCCTCTACATAGTTGACACTCAGGAAAATGTTTCTCACATGACTGACTGACAGTTGGGAGAGAATTTAGAGATGGTGACCATAACTTTCTGGGAATCCAGTGGATAAAATCTTAGCCTGGAAACTCCTAGGAGATAGTTGTGCTTAAGTTAGCCTTTGATGCTCTGGTTGCTTACACCTAGCCAAGGAGGTTATTACATGAGCAATGGCTTCTCTGGGAGCGCCTGGGAGTTGCTTAGCCCTAGGCGGCATCAGCTGCTGAAGAAACAATTTCTTAGGCATCAGCTGTTTTGCTTTGTTTCCTCTTCTTTGGGATTGGGAAAGATAACCACCATTTATTTGCTAGGTTAAGCTTATAGCATGTACTTGCATAAACGCACTGAAAAGAAACAGCAGTCTGGGTAGGCTGGGCTTTAGAATGGCCAACTTCCTCAGGCTACTCAGGAACTCAATCCCTGCAGAGGAGACTGCAGAAGCCACTGCAGTTGGGAACTCTTCCTGGCCCGGGCGCCTCCCCGACCCTAGAGCCCCTGCTCTGCCTTCTGCCCCTGGTACCCTTGTCCTGTTCTACCCTTGCTCGGAGCGTGAGAACATTCACCAATGACTAGGAGCTGAGGGGTAGAATTTAATGTAGGATAGTAGGGTAAAAATTGTTTCTGTTAAAGTCAACCTGTCAAGCACTGTGCTGAGCCCTGATGATAGAGATGAATAAGAGACAATCCTTTTTTTCCATGGAATGCATGGTCTAGTAGAGGAAATTTACAAGTTGGATGGTGACATCAATGGAAGAGTAGAAGTATGTGCAGTATACAGAAGTGCCAGACTGAGGAGGGGCTGTCAGGAACTGCTTGCCAAGGAGGTGGATTTTGAAGGGTAAATAGGAGTTTTCCAGGTAGATAAAGGGTTTCTTTCTTTGTGAGGACTGGGCTTTGAGAAAAAACTCCCGTATTGGTTAATGTTGATTTTCACTCCTGATGGATGTGCCTTATGGAATAATGTGAAATATGTACTAGGAGAACGGCCAGCTGGTTTTGAACTGCACTGCCAATCTTTAGGTTGTGATACCTGGACCCGCATATATATATTTTTTTAATTGGGAATTGGGGGAGGGGAACAGTGTTGGGGAATTGGAGAAGGGGACCAGCCAAGTTGTCGTTCTTCACTCTTTGTTGTGGAGGGTGCCAGTCGCCATCTGGCTGTCCGTCGGCAGCTCGTGGCCTCTAAGCTCAAGGTGCTGTGTTCAATCTTAGTTGCGGGTGGGCATAGCCACCATCCCACGCGGGAGTTGAACCAGCAGCCTTGTTGTTAAGAGCGCACACTCCATATCCACTGAGCCATCCAGGCGGCAGCTCAGCTCAAGGTGCTGAGTTCAGTCTTAGTTGCAGGTGGGCACAGCCCACCATCGAACAGGCAATCTTGTTACACCAGCTGAGCCATCCTGCCACCTGTTGGCAGCTCACCTTGGGCTCAGCTTTGGCACAGCGTCACTGGCCCATGTGGGAATCGAACCGGCGGCCCTGTTGCTCAGAGCTCGCGCTCTTAAGCCAACTCTTAACCAACTCAGCCACTCGGCTGGCCCCCCTCCCCCTCCCCCACCCCCACGCCGGTAATTTTTTAGTGGGGAAATGCTGCTGGCCCTGCACCTTCTTGCCTGTGCTTTGGAGCCCAGAGTGCTGACTCACTGGAAACTGATGAAGGTGACTTTTTGTGCTTTTTTTAATCAGTGAGTGATTTGGCCACAGGTGTCAGTGTTTGAAGTGCTCTCCTCTGTGCTTTTTTCATCAGTGAGTGATTTGGCCACAGGTGTCAGTGTTTGAAGTGCTCTCCTCTTCTGGTCCCAAACACCTGCCCTTAACCAACTGCACTTGAGCTCAAGTCAAACTCACTTGGACTGCGGTGTTACATCTGTCCCTGTTCATTCATTGAACGAGTAGTTTTGAGTGACTATTATGTAGCACTCCTGGGAATTCTGGACTGTATTTGATGACAAAAATTCCTGCCTTCATAGCGCTTACCTTCTGGTGATCCACATAGTAACCCACCCTCAAGGGCACATGACCTTGTGGCAGCCGCCCGGCCAACCAAGTGGCTTCTTGGCCTTTTCCCTGCCCCCACTCTGGCTGGATTGAGCTCTCTAACTCTCCACTTCCCCACCAGGTTCCTCCAGAGGAAATGCCTGCCGTGCAAAGCCTGCCTCTCGAACTTCACCTCCCCAGGCCTCTCTTACAGGAATGTTCACATCTGGTCATTGTCCTGGGATTTCTTTCCTCCTGTTCATCACCCAGGTTGAACCTCCTCAGAGTCCCTTTAACTGCCTGGCAGTTGTACCGCCCCCCAAACTCAGACAAGTCTTACTGCTCCTGTCACTCAGTTCACTTGCACCAGATTCTTACTGTTCTTCTTATTCACATGTGGGTAGAGCCTGGTTTCATGTTTGTGGAAAATCACCTCCCCCAGCCCCTTTCCAGATTTCCCAGGGGACAGCTGGCTCTCGAAAAGCTTGCCACACACACAGAAAGGGAAGTAAGATAACCAGAGGCCTAAAAGGGTCCTGGCCTCTCAGCAGTGCCAGTTACCTGTGGTGGCGATTTGTCTTGTCTCTCATAGGTTTGGAGTCGCCAGGCCGGTCTGCCGGAGCCTGTCTGCCCACTTGGTTTTACAGCAGAAGGGCTCTGGGCACAGATGGCCTGGATGATGCAGGCCATTCTCCTCTGATTTAATCTCATACACCAAAGGCCCATATCCGTTTCCCACCAGATTCTTCCTTTTACTTGGGAAGTAATAAATACTTGTGTGCAGACAGTGCTTAACAAGTGTTGGGTGAGTGACAGTTCTAGCACCCTCCAGGAGATGGAACTTGAGTCCTCACTGGTGGTGTTCAGATAGGTCAAGGAGCCATTCAGAAGAGGTGTGGGTGAGAGGCCTTGGGTGTTAGGTTGGGGAGACTAGGTGATGAGGTCTGTTCTCATCCTGGGTTTTTGGCCTGTAATTTGGTCTCAGGCTTGCTGATGCTAAGGGGCTAGAGATTTCCCATGGCAGTAATACTTCTTTCTCTGAATAAAATTAATCTCATTTGAAATTCAGTACCAGAGCACATATTGTGTTAATTAACAATACTATATGTGGGACTCGTGTGTTTCTGTGAAACAGCCCAAGGAATACCCCATCTTTGAGTTAACCCTGCAAGTGGAGGGAAAAAAGTGTGTATGATGAACAAAGATAATAGTAACACA